GGTTACACTAAATTCCGACCCCTCCCTTGCCCCCACACGAAATTCCGACCAACCATGGTGTGTTAATTTCGTTGCCGGCTGGGTTGATATGGAAATCGGGGAAGATGAAGAAGAACCGTCAAAAAGGTGGGCCCTACTAACGGATTCATGGACGGAATCCGTTAGTTGGTGGTAAAATCGAATTTTTGGAAATTTTGGTGGTGGTAAAGTAAATCTTTTTTTTTTTTTGGAGGTGGTAAATTCAATTAAGTGGTTATTTGAAGGTGGTAAAAGTCAAAATTTCCTTATTTTATTATTTATTTTTTTGAAAGAATTGTTATAATTATTAGAAATTACTAATTAATAATATTATTAAATATTAATTCTTAATAGTTTGAATTATTAAATATTAATAATGATAACTATTATTATTAATTATTATTATTAATAAATATTAATTATTATTAATATTAATAATTATTAAAATTATTATTAATATTAATAATTATTAAAATTATTTTTTATATTAATAATTATTATTATTCAAAATATTAAATTATTATCATTAATACAATATTAATTATTATTATTATTGAATATTAATTATTATTATTGTTATTAATAATTGTTATTTGAAAATAGAGCAAACAGAGCAGAGTATAGCATAGCAGATCAGAGCAGATTTCTTTTGAGCAGAGCAGATTTGATTTGAGCTCAGCAGAGAAGAGCAGAGCAGCTCTAAAGAACGGGGCCTAATCCACGCATTTTGCAAAATTTTGAAGGTTTTGGGGTTCGGTATATAAAAGTCTTGAATTAATGAAATCGATCTAAGTAGTAAACCGGTAAATTGGCCGTTTAAAGGAAAATTGGATGGTTTCACCCAGCCAATTGAATTCACGGAGGGTATTAGGGACCATGGTAAACATTTTTGAAATTTTTATTTCCGAGCGAAGAAAAGTTGAAAAAATTTCAAAATTAAAGACTAATATCCACGCATTTTGCGAAATTTTTTGAAGGTTTTGGGGCTTGGTGTCGAAAAGTCTTGAAATACATCTCGGGGTCATATAATGCCGTTTGGAACCATATATGATAATAATATGTTGTCATAAATGTTCTTGGTATGCTTGAGTTAAAGAAATCGGTGTAAGTTGTAAATCGGTAAATTTTCCTTTTAAAGGCAAATTGGATGATTCCACCTACCTAATTGGACTCCCGGAGGATATTAGGGACCATGATAAACATTTCGACAATTTTTATTTTCAAGCGAAAAAAAGTCAAAAAATTCAAAAATTGAATGCTATTATCCACGTTTTTTGATAAATTTTGGAGTATTCAGGGCCCGGTTTCTAAAAGTATTGAAAATCTATGGATTACATCTCGGGGTCATATAATGTCGTTTGGAATCATATATGATCATTATTTATTATTATAAATGTTCGTGGTAGACTTGACTTAATAAATCAGTGCAAGTTGTAAACCGGTAAATTGGTTGTTTAAAGACAAATTGGATGGTTCCACCCAACCAATTGGACTCCTGTGGAGCATTAAGGTCCATGGTAAATATTTCAGCAATTTTTATTTTCGTGTTAAAAAAAGTCAAAAAATTTCCAAAACTGAAGGCTTATTAATATCCATACTTTTTAATAAATTTTGAAAGTTTCGGGGCCAGGTATCAAAAAGAAATAAGATTTTATGGGATAAATATCGAGGTCATATAATTCCGTTTGGAACCATAAAGGCATAAATGATCATTATATGTTGTCATAAATGTTCGTGGTAGGCTTGAGTTAATGAAATCGGTGCAAGTTGTAAATCAGTAAATTGGCAATTTATAGGCAAATAGGATGGTTCCACCCACCCAATTGGACTCCCGGGGGGTATTAAGTACTATGGTAAACATTTCGGCAAATTTTTTTTTGGGCTAAAAAAAGTAAAAAAATTCCAAAATTGAAGGCTAATATCCACACTTTTTGAGAAATTTTGGAGGTTTCGGAGCCCGGTGTCGAAAAGCCTTTAGATTTTAGGGGATACATCTCGGGTTTATATAATGTCGTTTGGAACTATATATGATCATTATATGTTGTCATAAATATTTGTGGTAGGCTTGAGTTAATGAAATTTGGGCAAGTTGTAACCCGATAAATTGGTCGTTTAAAGACAAATTGGATGGTTTCACCCACCCAATTGGACTCCCGGAAGGTATTAGAGATCATGGTAAAAATTTCTGCAATTTTTATTTACGGGCGAAAAAAAGTCCAAAAATTCAAAAATTGAAGGCTATATATCCACGCTTTATGAGATTTTTTGGAGTTTTCGGGGCTCGGTGTCGAAAAGTCTTGAAATTTTAGGGCATACATCTCGGGGTCATATAATATCATTTAGAACCATAATATGATCATTATTTGTTGTCATAAATGTTCGTGGTAGACTTGAATTAATGAAATCAGTGCAAGTTGTAAACCGGTAAATTGGCCTTTTAAAGGCAAATTGGATGGTTCCACCCACCCAATTGGACTGTCGGAGGGTATTAGGGACCATGATAAACATGACAATTTTTATATTCGGGCGAAAAAAAAGTCAAAAAATTCCAATATTAAAGGCTAATATCCGCGCTTTTTGAGAAATTTCGATTGTTTCGAGCTCGATGTCGAAAAACATTGATATTTTAGGGGATACATCTCGGGGTCATATAATGCCGTTTGGAACCATATATGATCATTATATGTTGTCATTAGTGTTCGTGGTAGGCTTAATTTAATGAAATCGGTGCAAGTTGTAAACTGGTAAATTGGTCATTTAAAGGCAAATTGGATGGTTCCACCCAGCCAATTGGATTCATAGAGGGTATTAGGGACCATGGTAAACATTTTGGCAATTTTTATTTCCAGGTGAAAAAATATCAAAAAAATCCAAAATTGAAGGCTAATATCCACGCGTTTTGAGAAATTTTGGAGGTTTTGGGTAAACGGGTCGGGTTTAGGTCGGTAAGAGTGGGTTGGGTCAACTCGGTTCAGGTCAATTCAGATTAATTCCATAACCTATGAGGGTTTGATTTGGGTTGGGTCATGCTTGAGTCAGGTCACATTAGGTCATATTTCTTATCGGGTTTTTGTTATAATCAGGTCGAGTCATTCATGTCGGGTCATTCTCGGGTTCAAGTCGGGTTCTGTTCAAGTTAATAATTTGCGGGTTATAATCAGGTTTGGTCATTTCCATGTCGGGTCATTCTCGGATTCAAGTCGGGTTATGTTTAAGTCAATAATTTGCAAGTTACAATCAGGTCGGGTCATTTCCAAGTCAGGTCATATTCGGGTTCAACTAATTATAAATAGATAATTATCATTTTTATCAAGCTAATTATTTCCTTTGACTATAATATATATGGAAATATACAAGGGAACTATAGTCTATAATTTAGGAAGTTAATTATCTCCTTTGACCATACAACAAATATATAATTACCCCCGTTTTTATTAGTTGACACGTATTCCTTTTTAGTTGACACGTTTCCTTTTTGGGTAAGTTTATACCTTGTTTTTTAAGTGTACCCCACTTGCTTTATCATTCTATGTCACTATCTCTCCTCTCCTTAATATGTGTGCCTAAATTGATGAGCGAGTCAACTTAAATAGAAACGGAGGAAGTACTATATTTAATTCTTAAATTTGAGGATGATGATCCTTTCTTTTGCTGGCCTGGACCGACTTGGTCTCCCTAGACAAAATGCTTTGATCAACAATAATAAGGTGGTCTAAATTGCATTTAAGGTGATTTGAAATCGAGTAAGGAACAATTTGGGTTGAATTTAGGTCGGGTCAATAACAAGTCGTGTTGATTTTGAGTCAGTTAGTAACAGATCGGGTTGAATTTTTTGGTCGGGTAAGTAATAAGTCTTGTGAAATTTGGGTCGAGTCAATAACAAGTTGGGTTGAATTTGGGTCAGATTAATAACAAGCCGGGTTGATTTCGTGTCGGGTTTGTAACATGTTCGGTTAAATTCGGGTCGGGTTAGGAATGGGTCGGGTTGAATTAAGGTCAGGTTAGTAACAAGTCGGGTTAAATTCGGGCTTTGACGGGTTAAAACGGGTTTGGGCCAATTTCGGTTCAAGTTGAGTTCGGTTCAAGTTGAGTTCGGTTCAAGTCAATAATGTACGGGTTACATTCGGATCGGATCATCTCCAGGTCAGTTCATGTTCGGGTTCGGGTCTCACATACTCGAGTCAACTCGGGTTTCAGGTTGGTTTCAGGTCGGGTTTGGTTCACCATTTTTTCGGGCTCAGATGGTTCGGTTAATAATCAGATTTGAGTCGGTATTTCGGGGTCGGGTCAACTTTTGACAGCTCTAATTGGAATGAAACAAGATCAATAGATTCGTTTTTGCCTTTTTGGAGATTGGTTTGTTCGATATATTTATAGACATCGATATGAAGGATGCAATTTATTTAAACTTTTATGGTCCACTTAAAATGACTGGGCAATTGTAGCCTAATGAAACTGTGGCAACATTTGAACGAAAATGGGAGGCATGCATGCTTTGCGGTATACGTCCTATATATGTAAGGCGAAATTTCTAGGAAGTAGGGAGTGATGTATTTTTTTTTCCGTACTCGTAAAAGAATTATCAAGGTCCGGATAGAGAAAATATAGGGTTATAAGGATTGTGTTTTTAGCTTGAAAGGTTTATATTCATATTTATTCCGTCTCTTTTTTCAAAAAAACCACTAAATATCCTGCTTGAAATAAGAGTTTGTTGGATGAAATTTGAACTCGTGACTTTTTTTTTTTAATTACGTTGACTATAATACCATGTCAGAAGTCTAAATTAAAAGTGGCGAAAACTTTAAATTGATTAGTAAACGTATAATCGTATACACCAACTACGGAGTAATAAACAAAATTCGGATGTCAAAACCTCAGCATCCATCATTCACTCCATACACCATATAAAGTAAGTAGTAAGTAACCATCCAAATATTGACTAAAGACAGTATCTAAGGGATTCAATCACGGGTCCACAATATATGCACTATAATTGATTCAAACACTTTTCTAATCTTAGAATTTCAACCCAACTTTTCTTTCTCTGCTTCCTCTTATTATATATTTTCCTCCCCTTTACCAAATTCAAGAGAACAAGTTGAAAACTTTCGCAAAAAAAATTCCAAAAAAATGGGGTTTATAGATTTATTAGTGGTAGCTTTAATACCAGTTGCGAAAGTGCTATTGGTATCAATTGTAGGATTGTTTATGGCATTAGAGCGTATTGATTTATTGGGGGAAAATGCTCGTCATCATTTGAACAAGATTGTGTTCTATGTTTTTAGTCCTTCTCTTATTGCAGCTAACTTGGCTAAAACCGTCACCTTTCAAAGTTTTCTTACCTTGTAAGTTTATTTATTTATTTATTTATTTATTTATTTATTTTTATAGTTATACAAAGTATATAAAATTTTAATTATGTCGTAGTAATTAACTTGATTTTGTTTATTGAAAATGTATAGGTGGTTTATGCCGATAAATATATTGATTACGTTTTTAATAGGAGCAATATTAGGATGGATGCTTGTTAAAGTTACGAAACCTCCTAAGCATCTCAAGGGGCTCATAATTGGAGCTTGTTCTGCTGGTAATTTGCTTTTACATTTTTTTTTATAGTTAAGTCAAATTTGGATCCTTGATTTATGATCAAGCCTTTGACTTTGAGACTTATATAAATGAACACTTGATTAGCAACATGTAATTTTCATTAAATTGTCCTTAGCTTGTTCATCTGTCTTTTTTACTTTAATTAAACTAGTTCCGTAATGACATTGACTACAACGGAGTAGTTACATGTAAGTTGTCATAATTATTTTTAAAATAGACATAAAAAGTTGTCACATTTTAAAAAAAGTGTTCTTCAAACTAATTTAAATTTGTCTAAATTATGAATGTATTTGAAATCATTATAACTAATTTTGTATCATGAGATCATTTTAACTATTACGAGTATAAGGTTTCAAAAAAAAAAAACCTATTACGAGTATATATTTTATATGACTAATAATGTACTACTCCCTCTGTTTCAATATGATAGTCTCATATGGAATCAATCACATAAAATAAGTAAAGGAGAATATTTGGAATCTAGCATTAAAGTAAAAAAAAAAACAATTCATAAATAGTTTTGCATTATTTATTTTTTTGATTTTTTGAGTAAAGCATTAGCCATAATTGCATAAATCAAGGGAGTAAATTCTTTATTTAGAGTCATGTCATTAATTCATAATCAATTAATCTAACAAATTAGAATTTAATATGTATAAAATAGAAAATAAAAAGTAAGTTAAAAGTGGAATACATTCAATATGGGTAGATCATTTTTAAACGCTCAAAATAGTATATGGGACTAACAAATTGAAACGGAGGGAGTACTTAGATTTGAATGCAATATCAAGTCTTAACTAGAGTGTGCAATATTTAGTCTTAACTAATCTGAATGCAATAACAATGTTTATTCGTGTCCCTAATCAACTTATCTATACGGAGTACGGAGTATAACCAAATGACACAATTTTTTTTTAAAAATCCAGGGAATATGGGTAACTTGCCCATCATCCTAATTCCTGCGATGTGCAAAGAGAAGGGCAGTCCATTTGGAGCTACTGATGTTTGTGAGACTTATGCTTTGTCCTATGCGTCTCTTTCCATGGCGGTATGACTTTGGATTTCGAGAAAAAAAATATTTTTTCTTTTTCACCCATCAATCACGTTTTAAACTGATATTTATGATATTTTTCTTATACATATCCTAAGGGCTATATTTATTATTTTCCTACAATTAACTAAAATGTTTTCAGATAGGTGCGGTTTACTTGTGGTCATTTGTGTACAACGTTATTAGGATTTCTGCTGAGGAAGTAGCAATAGATAAAGATGCAATTAATTACTCAAGCATCAATATTAAGGAGTCCAATCAGGAACCCCTCCTTCCTTGCAGTGAAGATTTGGTTATACACCCTCACTCTAAATCATTGGTAAACTCACTCTTTTTAGCTAATTCAAATTACGTAGTATTTGCTACATCAATTTGAGTTGCACTACGCCGCTACTTATGCATTAACTTTGACCACATGCTCGTATATACCTGTCTTAAACAACCTTTTATACATAACTGCATATATTTATGGTCAAACATGTGCATTGGCAATTTGTCAAACATACTAATTGTCAATGATTGATGCATTATGTTAATAAAATAACTAGCTACTTCTAAAATTATTATTATTATTATTACTTTAAATATATACATCGATATTGAAATAATTCTAAGGTAACGAGATTTTCTTGGGCAGGTTTCATTACCAGTCAAGATACACCAACGTATAAGAACTTTTTTAGAAAAGGCCAACCTCAAAGCAGTGTTTGCACCATCAACAATTGCAGCGGTATCCACTAAACAAATCTACTTTGCCAATTTCAATCATTTGTAGAATTCGATTTATCAATGAATCATATTAAAATAATTAAAAGTAAAAATAGTATAAATGAAATTTTTAATCATCCTAATTTATTTATAGAAATATTAATTTACTTTGGATTTCATCCCATGATAAATTATGAGCCTAATTATAGCTCCATTCTTGATGTAGATACTTGGGTTTACAATTGGAATGGTATCTCCGATCCAAAAATTGATGATTGGCAATGATGCTCCACTTCATGTTGTCAATGACTCGGCCTTCATGCTTGGGTACCCTTTATTCTCTTCCCCACCCCCCCCCCTTTTTATTTTTGTACTTTTTATAAAAACTTAATTATAAAATTATAATCATTACACCTTTAAACAAAAAATTATTATATATATATGTGTGAGAATACGTTCATATGTGAGAATTCATACTTATATGAGAACTGATTTTAAATTTAGAACATGTAAGTAAAAATTTAGAACATACGAGTAAAAGTTTAGAACATGTGTCTGAAATTAAAATTTAAAACATTTGAGTAATAATTTAGAATACCTATGTGAGTAATATGTTTAGAACATTTGATTTAAGAATTAGAACAAGTGATTAAAAATTTATAAAATCTGCTTTATGAAATTTTAAACATATAAGTAAAATTTAGAACATCTGATTTAAGATTATGAACATATGATTAAAAATTTAGAACAAACAAATATAGAATATAGAAAGTGTGAGTAAAAAATTTAGAACATACAAGTAAAAAAATAGAACATACGCTTTAAAATCTGGAACATATAATTAAAAATCTTAGAACACACATTTTAAAATTTAGAACATATAAGTTAAAATTTTGGAACAAGTTATTTAAAATTTATAATATCAAACTTCACTAATTTATGGTTTAGAACATGTGAGTACTAAATTAGAACATTTGATTTAATTTAGAACACCTAGGGAAAAGTTTAGAACATCAGATTTAAAATTTAGAACATACGAGTAAAAATTTAGAACATAAAGAGTGTTCTCACATAAGGAAAATTCTCACGAGAGCCCTCCCCTATATATATATATATATATATATATATATATATATATATATATATATATATATATATATATATATATATATATATATATATATATTCAGTTTTTGACTTGTATGTTGTAGACTTAAATTTTGCAAAATCTAACATAATACACAAAGTGTAGCTGGCTAGCAACACCGTATGGCAGGGGTTACTTCGTTAGTGTAATAGGGGTTACTTGAGTTATTTGGTATGTGTTAAAGGAGTTACTTTATCAGTGTTATAGGATTACTCGGTTAGTGTTATAGGGATTACTTGGTCAATGTTATATGGATTACTTTGTTCTTTTACAAGTGGCCAAACGATGTGACTAGCCACACACAAGACGAGCTGAACAAAATTAGCTTTCTTGATACTCTATTGAAATACTCTAAAAAAGCTAAGTTGTTGGACTTCATGCAAATAACCTCATAAAGAGTACGAGTATCACCTAACCTTGAATTAGTTGGGCAAACCCCTAGGTCTACTATAGTGTCTACTATACCAATTAATTTTAGCGAACTTTTATCATAAGTCATAACGGTCCCTTTCCTAGCCCATATCCACACTCGGCCCCTATCCTATTCTGATCCACTCTAAAACCTAAAAAGAGCAACATTGTAACATATATGTATCCTTAATATACAGAGAAGCAGCCATCCCAGCTCGCACCATAATACTAGGAGCCAACCTTCTTAAAGGTATAAATAATCTCATCTCCTCCCAATTTATCCAATTATACAAACATTCAATAAATTAGACTTTGTTCAATATAATAATCTTTTGGACTATTGATGGTCAGGTTTAAAGGGTACAAGTATTCAACTAAGAGTTATTCTTGGGATAGTTGTAACTCGCTACGTAATTCTTCCTCTGCTCGGAATTTTGATAGTTAAGGGTGCACTCCAAGTTGGCATTGTTCCGTCGGACGATAAATTGTTCGTATTTCTTCTTCATATTCAATATGCAATGCCACCCGCAATGAACATAGGTATGTATGTCAACACCATTCTTCATCCAATTCTAATGTCATTGATGCATGAATTCTTAATGGCCTAATAAGTTTGATTTAGCTTACCAATTGGTGCATGTGTAACGTGTTGGTCATATTATATATACACGCTCAGAAATGCCAAATTTGCAATATTAAACCTTCTTTTTTAAACCATCAATATTATCAGTCATTATTTAATCAAAACTATTAAGTTTAATAATTTGAAGGAAAAATATAGTTAGGGCATGTTCTCATTGACTGAACTCAGCTGAACTGAACTAAACTAAGCTGAACCGAATTGAACTGAATTGAATATTTTATAAGAGAAAGAAATTATGAGCTGAATTGAACTGAACTGAACTGAACTGAATTTCAACGTATTAGAACAGACCCTTAGTCAAAACCAAAAAAAAAAAAAAAAAAAAAAAGCGATTAAGCAATTTCTGATTATTTATCCTATTGTGCATAATCAAACAATTAACTTGGATTATAATTAACATTTTACTTTTTTTTTTACATGTGTTTAATGGGCTTATGACTTTGACAGGTACGATGACACAATTGTTTGGATCAGGCCAAAATGAGTGTTCGGTAATTATGCTATGGGCTTATTCTTTGGCCATTGTGGCTCTTACACTTTGGTCTATTTTATTTCTTTGGATTGTCGCATAATAAAATCTACTACAAGTCTACAATATCATTTTCTTTGGCGGGATTTAATAGTCACGTTGTAGTTTGTTTATACAAAGACACAAGGTATAAGACTGTTTAGTTCTCCGTAGTAACAAGTACAAATATGGTCACATGGATTATATAGAGAACTCCCTTCGTCTCTTAAGTAAGTGCCTATTTCTAATATTTATTACTCACACACAAGTAATAAAGATAAATAGACATGTAGTTAACTAGTTAAGGGGCGGAGAGAGTACAAAGTAAGTAATATATAACCTGAAGTAAAGGAAGGTTGCAAACACTCAACGACCAAAAATGAACCACTTTTTTGTTGTTACAAGACGGGATTTAATCTCAGGCTATGTATTTCGTATCACTTTCATTAATATTACCAACTAAACTAGCTTATAGAATTCGCTGGAGATGTACCATATTGGAGCTGAGTAACTTCTTGTCATGAAGTTTCCTTCTACATTAAGTTGGAAAAAGCAAGGAATTTGATAGCAATTGGGCAAATTACAGGCTATCTTTTTATTCTCAATGATTATTACTATGTACTAATTTGACCTTTAAAAAATTATTTAATCAATTTTTGCTATCATTGTTATGAGTCAAGATTTGATCATGAATTGATGACTCCTAAAGTATAACTTATTTTGTTATACGAATATAAGAATTCTGGAATATGTGGTCATCAAATCAAATTAATTACTTGATTCTTCTCTAAAAAAAATTAGAACATAATAATTACTTGATCCTACATACATTCTCTCTTTTTTTAATCGGAATCAAATTAAATATATTCAACAAGTCGGCAAGCATATTGTATAATGATTTAAGGGCCTAGTGAACTGAAGTGAGTTAAGCTGAATTGAACTGAGCTGAACTTATTATAGCAGAACTGAACCGAATTGAATTGAATAGAGTTGAAATGAATATTTTATGAGAAAAGAAAATTAAGCTAAAGTGAACAGACCCTAAGTTGTATAAATTAATATATGGTATACTATTTTAGAATGTTTAAAAATATATTTGATAAGGAGTATTTCTTAACATAATGTTTCTAGTGGTTTTTAATGGAGTATTCTTAATTTTCTCCTTTTTAGATTATTTTTGCTCGTTCAAGATTGATGAGTAATAATCTTATTATAATCAAATAATTATTTTATCAAGATAAATATTGTCACTTAAAGTTATACAAATCTCAAAGACGAGAAACTTTTTTGTTTTGCTATCAATTGTCACTTCATTACTATTCTATTACATATGAACATATGTATACATTACATGAGATTTACAACATGATAAATGCTTTATTCCAAATATTTTGGTCACATAATTATTGTCTCTCCAATGGGTTGGGTATATAATCTGGAAAGTTGATGAGCAACTAGATTAAAGCATCAAAGCATCCCAATTCAGGTCGACAAAATTACAATAATTTAGTGTAACTGTGTGAGATACTGAGACTACACGATAGTCCCAAAAAACGCAATAAGTCCGTAAGAAGAAATTCACTTGATCTCACAATAAATTACTACAGAGTTTTATAAGATCTCCTCATCATACAAATTCTTAAAGTAGTAAGTGATTAGGTTAGCATGGACATGGATTAACACCCCTAATCAAGTATTAATTAATCTACAATTGTAAACCCAAAGAAGGAAATAAGAAAAAGTATATTCTAACTTCCCAACACCTCACAAAATGTTGGACGAAAGAATAATTCAGTGCAAAGTACCAGATTCTATTGATATTAAAACCATAAACTAATTGACATTTTATGTTTATTTGATGGTTATAAGTGCACGACAACATTAGATTTGACATTTTGACATGATAATAGATAAACAGTATTTAGCAACTTTAATTTATGCCAACTTTGGGTTCTTTCATTTCGTGCTATGACATCGTTGGGTTTAATCTTTAGCTCGATCGGGTAATCTCAAGTAGATTTTGGAATTTCATGGATTAAGAGTTGAAAATTTGTTATTAGTACTTCAAGGTTTTTTTTTTTTTTTTTTTTTTTTTTTTTTTTTTTTTTTTTTTTATAGGAATTAGTACTTAAAGTTATCAATGATGTCTCAACTCATTTGTATGGTTAATAGCCTCTATTTTCTCTTATATATACGAATTACTTGCTTCTTCCAAAATTACTTGCGAAGTAATTAAATTCACTTATTAATTACTTTAGAGAGAAAAAAATATACTCCGTATTTTGAAAAACTGCTAGTAAGTTGATATTGTTTGTAAGTAGCAATTATAACATTATCCAAACCCCAACAGTTCTTGGCACCTTCAATCTCTTCATTGTAAAGTATTTCACTATATTAGCTCCCTAAAGGATGGATGTAGTGATGTACTTTATTGGTATGAGTTTAAAAAAATTATGTAAAACAATATTATTTTTTTTAGAATTCTGTAAAACAATTATGAGCAATATTGTAGCAACATTGCATGGATAAAAGCATTAAAAAAAAAAATAAAAAAAAAATGGGGGACTACCTTAGGTAGTAATATGAGATAGAGAGAATAAATAATTGCAAGTTTTAATACAAACATGATCTTTCGATTAAAAAGATAGATAAATAAATGTTCTAAGATGCCACTGGGCCGGACCGGTCCTGCCCGGCATGGCCCAACACGAAAAAAACGGCACGACACGGACAAGAAAAAGCGGTGCACGATATGACACTCTGTGTGTGGGCCGTGGGTTGGGCCTTTATTTGGGAGAAGTACGATAAGACCCGACACGACTGGGCCCGACACAAAAAAAATGCTAAAATCAATGCAATTTAATTTTGCTTTAGCATGCAAGCCTGACACGATGACATGTGGGTCTGGGCTATGCATGGGCCAACCTTTTTGCAAACTTCGGCCTGGCCCGGCAGGACACAAAACTCATGGGCCGAGTTATGGGTCGGGCCTAACTAATCTTAAAACACGTGGTCTATCACAAGTACGGGTGCTTATCGAGCGAGTCGATCACGAGCACGAGCCGAGGGGTGCTCGATTCAACTCGAAAACTTTTTACATGTGCTCAACTCGTGCTTGTCAAAGTTTCGAGCAAATAAAACCTGCTCGACTCGTGCTCGTTAAAGTTTCGAGTCGAGTCAAGTAGCTCACGATTGGCTCGTTAAAATTTTGGTCCTTCTATTATCATATGCCTTTATTTATTTTTTGTTCAATTTATATTGCTTTCCTTATTATATATTGATATTATTAAACATTTACTCTTTCTTTTTTTATGATAAAAATTAAGTCTTAATAAGTGTCAAATTTGTTTAAAGATAGTAACTTTGTTTGTAAATTTTATAGTTATAATATTATCAAGTTGCTCACAAGCTTATCGAGTCGAGTTAGAGCTTGCTCAACTCGTGCTCGTTAACATCTCGAGTCGAGTCGAATTCGAGTCGAGCTAACTCGAGTCGAGTTTTAACCGAGCGTTGACCGAGTCAAATACGAGTTGCTCAACTGAATATGAGTATGTGAGTAGCTTTTTTGACACGACCCAGAGCCATCTTTAATTACTTAAGCATGTATCTCCTTCCTTTTTTTTTCTACATTTCTTAGAATCTTAGTCGTCTTGACGTCTTCCTTACCAATCTAGAGGCTACCAAGAGTACCAACAACAATCTTTTGACGGGTGGTAACCTTTTTTCATAATAACCAAATGTCACTGAATATGAGTATGTGAGTAGCTTTTTTGACAGACAGAGTACCTGAATAGCTTAGTGTAAAAATTAAAATGACACCTAAACAATATTTAAAAATTGTCATCATCAACAAAATTTTAAACGTGGCAAGATTTACTCGGTCAAGGATTATTTGAGTTGTTCGAACAGGGGTCATTCGAGAGGTTAATCAGTCAGGGATTAATCGGTCAGGGGTTACTCGATCAGAAATAACTCGAATAACCCTTGACCGAATAACTCGAGTAACCCTAGCCACACAGAAAAAATCCCTCTTGATATTAAGAAACACATTAATATTAGACCCTAAACCAACAATGATGTTAGTAACAACGATTTTATATATCATAAGTGCTTAAAGTTACGGAATGTTATATAAATGGTGCAATTAGTACGTCCGATCTAAATGTTATTACATGTATTGAGAAATGGAAGAAGGGTAAAAGACATATCTAACATCAACTTTTTTCTGACTTATTAATCAATATGAGCGGCTGAGCACACAACAGAATGCCGCAACTTAAAGTTGAAAGAAAACTTTTTAGGTGTGATTCTTAACTCCAACATTACAATTCATTCAAGCACTAATAAAATTTCCGTCTTAGCTTAGCTTTCTACCACTTGATATAAGAACAAGCTAAGGCCCCTCATCTCTAGATGCTGTTGCCAATTACCATATAAAGTGAAGTATTAGTTAGTCATAAAATACTTGCATTGTAGAATACTTAAATTAATTATGACACTTTACAAAAGCTTTTGCCAAAAGATTGCATTATTTTTGCCTATATATATGTACGCAAGTGCATGCATGCTTCATAATTTTGTAGTTAGCAAATTCTCTAACACTTTGCTAACTTAACTTTTTTTCAAGAAAAAAAAGAAAGAAAGAAAGAAACAATGGGTTCTTTGTTTGATCTATTTTTTGTTGCATCAATGCCTATTTTGAAGGTTCTTTTGATCACTGTCTTAGGCTTGCTTCTTGCAATTAATCGTATCGACATTTTGGGAGAGACGGCTACACATCATCTTAACAAAGTTGTTCATCTTTCTTCTTAAGCATTATTTCTTCCCTCTTCCTCTTTTATATTAACATATGTTAGGTTTTATATAATTTTAGAGTCAAAGTATGTAAAGTTTTAAGTGTTAACTAATGAAGTCATAGCTCCTTTTCTTTTGTGTTTGCCTAGGTTGTGTTCTTTGTTTTTGGTCCTGCACTAGTTGGTAGCAACTTGGCTAAGACAGTCACCATCAAAACCTTTCTTACTTTGTGAGTAATATTCTCTTCTTGTTCCATAATACTAGTATTTGTTATTTCTCATTTACACCTTATTATATTTAACAAAGAGCGAGTGGTTAACAATAGTACTTATGTGTGTGTGCATGCATGCGTGTGCACACACTAGTTACAAATGTATTATAAATTGATGATATTTTTTCGTTTCGTGTATTATGGTAACAGATGGTTTATGTTAGT